ATATATATATATAATATATATATATATATATATATATATATATATATATATATATATAAGGCATCACAGATTTATCGTATTTTCTATCTATATATTCTATATATACAGAACTAATGTTTTTTTAGACAGAAGAGAGAAATAATAAACATTGAGAGATATTATTTTATTCATTTTAAGCAAAAGTCTCTAACAAAAATTTAATATTTAATTCTTGAATTATATATAAATATATATATAAATATATACAAATATTGAAAACTGAAGAATTTATAAGAAAATGATTCTTTTTTGTCGAATTAAAAAAATAAGTGAAATATATATTATATTTATGTCTAACTAAAAGAAGATGCGATAATTCTAGGACATCTTGTGTATGCCAAAGTATAATCAATAAATTACGTTGCTTGATAATGTGATTGATTTCTATATAACATTATGTAATTGCAGTAGGCCTCAGTCTTTGGAACGAGTTACTAAGGAAACAAAAGTCAACATCGTGTACATCAAATGATTATCCTTTAATTTCTGTCTCTGAAGTTACCATTGCGCTGATACATTTCGTGATGAATAATGAAGTGCGAAGTTGAGTGGGGTAATGAAGATTCATCAATATATTATGATTAACATTAAATTACAAGTATGATTTTAAGAAACAAGAAAATATTTACACTTGCGCTTTCGCACTTTTGAATTGTACTAAAGTCAGAAACGCAAAATTAGATTTAGGGCAAGAACAAAAGAAAAATGTGAAAAGAGACACATTTAATGAGACAGGCGCAAAATAAATGGATTCGCAGGATGGAATAGAAGATGTAGTTAATGGTGAGATTGTGACGAGTACATTGGATGGGGATAACCAATTAACTACGTAATCGTGTGAGAATGGATGGAAGTATGGCGGATGAATATGCGAAGAGAGAAAGAGAAAAGATCGGTTTTATAAGAAAAAAAAGAACAAAAAAATAATTATACGGTAGTATCGAGAGGACCTGGCGCCTCCTTGTCGCCAGTTTGGTTATGGCCTTATCCAATTTTTCCAAGACTAAAAGCAAATTTATATTAGGTACAATGAGTATATGTGAACATGTACAGGTCCAAATCTGTAAATTTCCAATCTGCAATTTGTAATTGCGGCTCGCGCGGAAGCGTTTATTAAGTGTTAAATTATAAATATAATTGAAAATTTAAATTATAAATAATTAAAAAAACATTCCGCGCGCTCCGCGACACAACACAAAACACACAACAAAAATACATATACATATAACACACTTTTGTCAATTGCGATTTTGGATAGACCATTTAAGTAAGGGAAAGAGAAATTTGTCTATCACCTTCTCTTACCAGATATATTACATCTGTGTATTGTCTGTCTGTCTGTTCCGTTGTTAAAATTTTTATCATAACGTTTGTTTATTTCGAGCAATCCTCATCACACAAAATAAGAAAAGATAATTTATTAATAAAACCATTTACAAATCAATGATGGTGTATCCGATATGTATTGACAAGTGAACCTAGCTTTTTCGTACTTGTTCTTTTCTACTGTATTTTAGCGTTATCGAGTATACGAATATCTTTATCTTTTCATTCTCGCTTCTAAGTTATTCTTAGATGATTAATACTTCAAGAAAGATTTTTAATTAGGTTGTGTTATGTACAATATTCTCTAATTTACCGATCATTTTAACTATGAACAATGGTCTCGGTAATACCGATCTCAATCGGATATACATAAGTATAAATAAAATATGTATGAAGATAAGGATATCATTTGAAGTAAAAATATTTTGTAAATTGTTTCCAATTATAATCACGTTTTATTGATTTTAAATTTTACAGCGTGTCCTCTGAAATACCTATGACGTAGATTTATTATTTCCAATTATATTCCTTGAAATTTTTCAAAATTTTGAATTAAAAAAAAATTCCGTTTCTTATTTTCTATTTTTAATTTATTCTTTATTTCGCAGATACGAGCATCCATGTGGATGTAAGCATGTAGCAAGAATTTAATCGAGACTCGGACAAATCATCGCACAACTCGAATAGCTCGAACGTCGAAAAATTTGAGCAAAAATAATATTTATTATAAACAAAAGCATTTATTTATTTTATTTTAAATGCAAAATTAGTATGTCTTATTCGAAATCGAATATATGTTAAGAAGATTACAGTTTGACTTTTTTTTTATTTAAATCCGAACTGTTCGATTTCGACGGACGTTTCCGTCAGCGCGAGTTCGAAACAGCTACGCGCTACAACATGGCCGCCGGCGGCGCTGCGCGGCGGTCAGTGCGCACCAATATGGCCGCCGGCGGCGCACGGCACGGTCCGTGGTTCGTGCGTCGCGCCGTCGCATTCTCAGTCTCTCTCTGCGCTTCGGTCCGTGCGTTTCGTGAGTTGGTGCGTTGCTGTCACCCCCCCCCTCTCTCTTACGTGAAGCTGCGAGCCGTCATCGCATCGACAAGTTGAGAGAGTTTTAAGTGCTTCGCCTCTGCTGCCTTCGGGATTCTGGCACTTCGCAATCGACGCTACGGGAACATCATGGCTGAGAGCAAGGGCGCGTTAATTGCGAAGACAGTGCAAAAACATGCGGGCAGGGCGAAAGAGAAGGTAAGTGCACGTCCCTATGTTCTTTCTCTCTTTTTCTCGCTCCCTCTTCTTTCCTCTCTCTGTTTCTCTTCATTTGAACAGGTCGTTCTTCTCGAGCACTCGCGTCCGCGAATGACTCGCGCTTGCCCGCGAAGAAGAAGAAATTAACGCGAAAACTCACATGCGATCATAACTTCCGTGCCATGTCTCTCGACGAGACGCCGTGATAATCGCTAACGTCGGGGTTAACGTTTCGCGTCACCGTCGCGCGTCGATTGCATCGCGTCTCGACAATTAAATCTCGAGTCGTTCGACTCCCGTGCGAATTGAACATGTAATATCACTATCCGGAAAATAGAATCGTGATCTCCTCACCTATAAAAAAAAATTTGTACGATCTATGAGCGAGATAGGAGAAGCGAGAATGTCAATCTATGCGCGTTTCGTTCGCTCGACTCACGACTCGCGAAATGCATTTCCGCGCGGATTCTTCCACGCCGTGTGTCAGTCAGCAGGATATTCTATCATTTGCATAGAATCGCATGCAACGTTGCTGTAATATTGATGAGCGATTTTATCGATGTAAAGGAAAAAAGTATGATCGATAAATGACGAGACTCCTACCGGAGCAAGTTTTGTCGATTAGGAGATAAAAAAAAATCAACAGTCTCGTCCCGACTAGTAGGAGATAAAAAAAATCAACAGTCTCGTTCCGACTAATTTACTCCGAAGTGGTAAGATGAAGCAACATTTCGTGTATCTCGGAAGCGCGACGCAAAAGCATCTTTCTTTTTCTTTTTCTTTTTCTTTTTCTTTTTCTTTTTGCCGGCGCCTCGCAATGTCGCGCGAAATTGCGATACTTATGTAATCGGTAAACATGTCGCAGTAACTCCGTAGCGGTATCGTTCGAAATGATAATTATGCAACTCCCACCGCTGGCGTATAGGAAACTGCGCGTGCATAGGTGCATCCTGACTGCGCGTCAGTGCCTTTGCCTATCGCGATGACGATCGCGTGTCTCGCGGCACATGATCTCCACGTCGCATCGAACTACGATCTTCGTCGGAGACCTCTCGAAGGTGCCACGTGTATCTGCCACGAGTAATCCTTCGGCGATAAAAATGCTTGAAACTTCATATCCGGGAAATGCGCGTTTCCACATTAATATTTCGAATGGTGATAAATTAAATTGAACATTTCTACGTTCTTCATCCGATTTTTTTTTTTGTGATTTTCGAAACGCATTTTAGACTGCCTTTGTAATTTTAGATTTTAGAATGGAATTTTGTTGTTTGTTTGTAATTTTATATTTCCACATTTTTATATTCTGCCTTTTATATTTTATTAATATATGTGATATGTATGTGTAATTTTTTGATTTCTCAAATGTATTCTGGTGTTATAATAAAATTATAAATTATAGATTAGGTTTTTATATAAATTTTCGTTAATAACTGCTTCTCCAAGCTGTATTCATCGATTAATTTTGTTGATAGATTCTTAAAATTTTATATCTGAAGAAAATATTTGTCTCTGCATTCATATCTCGAATATTAACATATTTAAATTAAGCCAGAATTTTTTATCTGTAAAGCTCATTTTAATTGATCTGTAATTTCAATTTAAATTAGAATCTTATTTTTATAATTTTATATGTGTATTTTAATATTCTACATGTATATTATTAATCTATATTTTATGTGTATAATTTTCTATTTAAATCTATTTAAATATTCCTCATTACGCGACTCATCAAATTAAAAATAAAATTCTACTCTGAATTTCATTAAATTGTAGGTCGTCCATAGCAGGTTTAATGTTAATCATCGATATCTCATAGCTAAAATAGTTTCTGTTCGTTTTCTACATTTTTGAAATTCAAATGTTCTACATAGAAAATGTATTAATATTGTGAAAGACAAGAAAAGAGACAAGGAAAAGAAAATTATTTCGTAAATTAGAGGTAAAGCGGCGGATATGTCCTCGACAATTTTCCTTCAATCTCTCATCATGAAATATCGGTTGTTCCTGATCCTAAGTGAGGCTGATGTGACAGCCATTAGATATGGGATACAATGTTACATTATACCGAGTCTGTGCAACGAGTAGATCGCCCGCGATTAAATATGAATACGCACGCATTTACGGTGAAATGAAATTCTCTCTCTCTCTCTCTCTCTCTCTCTCTCTCTCTCGACGTACCGTACGACCGAACCGGACGTACCGAACGAAGGGTAAGGTACGGGTAGACGTACTAGCCTCGTACGAACGTACGTCGTACGTACGACGTAACGTACGTACGTACGACGTACGTACGTACGTAACGTAAGTAGTAACGTAACGTACGTACGTACGTACGTACGTAGTACGTATACTCTCTCTCTCTCTCTCTCTCTCTCTCTCTCTCTCTCTCTCTCTCTCTCTCTCTCTCTCCAACGTTCTCACGAGTCACTCCAGATGAGACGACATCATTTACATGTTTCGCTTTTGATGATTCATTGACGCGACAAGCAGAGAATCTCTCTCGCTTCTCTTTTCGCTAGTGTTCATTCAACGATCATGTTTATGGAAACGTCGTTTATGCGATCCACTTTTCACATTGGACGATGCATCCGCAACGGTCGTCAAAAGCGGAGAAAAGTTGGGAATTTCTCTACCTTTTCTCGTGTTTAACGCGGACAGTCAATTTTGTCATACATCGATTGTGCCATACATTCTTTTACTTCGCTCGATTCTCCTGTGATTCTAACATAGCCGTTCAAAGCTTCTCTCTACATCGAGCAATTTCCATTTAAAAAGTATATATATTTTTATATTGTAAAATTTTATATTTACATTTTATATTTTTCTTTTGTGAAAAATTTTACTGATCAGGCATTTCGTAGTCCTCATTAATTCTTCTTTTCGAAGAAAAAAAAAAACTAATTTTATCTGGATGTTTTATCTGTATATTTAGGATATTTTATCTATTTTATTCTATCTGAATATTTAGAAGGTAGATTTATTTGGATATTCGCATTTTTAACAATTTATGCGATTTCATTGAAATTCGCAAAGATGACGAGGCACAGCCTGCGAACTGTTGATGCAAATTGAAGTTATGGAAATTTACGTACGCGGAGGGACGCGGAGAGACTTCTCTCGAGATGCATTATACTCGCGATGATGCGCGTCGACGTATCGCCGTTTCCGCAGTTCGCCGACATCCAGAGCGCGATACTCGCGCCTTCGTCGATGCATCGCATAAGCATTGCATAAGCGACTCGTCCGTGTCACGCAATCCGCGTGCGCGCCATCGGTGTGCCTTCTCGGTACAAATAACAAACGTCCGCGATTCTTTCTCTCACGCCTTTAAAATCGTAGACTTCCCGGTTGTTCCACGATAAATAAACGGAAAAGGAATAATCTTAACGTAGAGAGATAACAAAACAGGTGAGACATGAGCACAGTTTTGCGGGAAAAGCGTGAATGCTTATTTTCGTTAGGAAAATGTGTCCTTGCAAAACGGGAATCGACAGGGCGGCTGTATACTTATATATAATTTATATAATTATTGATTTTATTATTTAATTTTTAGCAATTTTTTTTTTTTTGTAAACGATAGTTAATTTGTATTCCGACGCGACGCGATTGGGAGGAAGGGAAGAAAACTATTTATCTGGTAGAACTTATCTGGTAGAACCGGTCTAAAAGCTGTTATAGCGAAGTCTGTTATTCTCCTGCCCAAATCGAGAAGAAGGTTCGAATCGAGACAGATAAAGATTAGAGTGTTTAAATTTTTCCTAACAAAAATCTTATAAAAACACGAAGATTTTACAAATATTCTCTCAATATTTTATAACGCTTTTACGTTTCATGTTCAGGTATTAGTTTTCAAATTTACAGCATAAAAACTCGTGAATGATAAAGAGCATTAATGACGTTGATAATAGTCTTATCTGCTTGAAAACGACGAAAAGCAATAACCGATATCTTTCGAGCAACACAGATAGAAAAGTTCATTTACACAGTATTTATAACACACAAGCGAAGAGAATAACACGTAGAAGATGTTTGTTCTGCGACTTTGGCGGCACGATGTATTAAACGATTCAACATAATTGCGTTATGGTTGCATTAGTCCGGGATTGTTATCGTGTTTTTTTAATTAAATCAATTTTAATAATGTATATTACCCGTGTGTCTTGTTGTTTTTCTAATATTCCAGAATTTTCTGAATAATCTTAATGAATTATCTCTCTTAAACGAATGATCATTCGTAGATAATCGGCAGAGCAGTCTAATCATGGCGTTTTATAAAAATAATCTCTCTGTTCACGAAGCGAATAATAAAATGTATTAGCTCGTTTCCACCGACCTGCCTTCGTAAATTATAATCGTTTCTACAACTTATATATTATATGCGGGCGTACGTTTGATAACTATCGCTTGATAAAATAGTCATCGTATACTTTCTCACGTGTGTAACCCATTTAGCCGCCGAAGGAATGAAGTCGAAAATGCTTGGGGATTACGTCGCACCGCCAGAAGCAGCGAAAGGATTAAGTGTAGCCGGCATTTTTTTTTCACGGGAATTGCACGCGCATTGCAAAGTAGGAAGAGATAACGCCGTAGATTTGATCGCACGTATCGGCACTCGCATGCAAAAGGTTCAGCTGATACTCGAGGCGAAGAAAGTTTGTGTGAGCCGAGGATTGTTAAGGGGCCTTTACACGATTAAGTAATTACTATCAACAATTTGCGTATCAATACTATTATTAATTAACGCGCACAAGCGTTAAACTCGTTGAAAGCTAATTAAAAAAAAAAAATTAAAAATAAAGTTGACAACTGACGCTGAAAATCAGTAGAAAAAATTATCGACACTTAATACTATGAATTATTTATAATACTTTGAATTTACTTCTATCATAACGCAACTAAATTCTTTGTGTTATCATTTAATTTAGCGAATTAATTTTAATCTCGATCTTGTAGAAATAATGCAAAAATAATTTTAAGCATAAGTCTCTATGTACTTTACTCTTTGCATCATTCTTCACTAGAAACCACGTTTTATGTTAAATCCGCAGTGGAAGTACGGACTATGTCTTCTGTCGTACCGCAGAAGTGCGAGTTGCGGTATCGTAGATCGGTATTAGAATTTCGCATTCGCGTTCGCAAACCGCAACGAAACGAACGTTTCTTGTCTCTCGCCCTTTAAATACACGGCTGTTTCGCTGTCTCGCGCTGTTTTTACGCCTCGAAATATCGACGCATTATGAAATTAGTTCGATTCGATTTCCTTGACGCGTTAGAAAATGGAATCTCGTCTCGTCAGATCTGTCAGACTTCCTACGACTGCGACTGTCGTCCGCTGGCTTCCGGATGTCTATTTCCGCCAGCCAGAGTTCTAAACGCCGGGGCCGTTTCTTATAAGGTTGTCGCCGGCATTTCTTCAACGGAGGCGCGGAGGACAAGCCTCTTTCTGGTCGAGCTCTCTCGTCATAATCGTTCTCCTAGACCCGCTAGATTTCTAAGTGTATCCCAACGCGCGACCGGGAGAAGACAGCTACTATTCTCGTCTCCGAGACGCGTTCCCGGACGCCCCGTGACAGTCGGCAAATATATCTACGAGCTCGTGGCTTTTGGAGGCCCCGCTTTCGAGTTTCGCGGCGTTTCACGTTTCCATTGCGCTGTAAAAGTGAGAGCTCTCAGAGCGCCCCAGCCAGAATATTTCTCGGCGCATTATATTGCGTTGTATTTTTTTTAATACACAGTTATTTGTCGATCCGTTCATAGAAGTGAAATTTTTAAACGTCTATTGGCCTTTCCGTGATCCTTGGCAAGGGCCTATCTTGCTTAAATAACTTTCAAACCTGTTTTTGAATTTGTTTGAAACCTGAACAAATTTCTGTTAAACGAGCGGATAAACTGCGATATTTATAACTCGTTATTAATTTCACAGTTTTTTTTTTTTTCATTTTAGTTTCGGCTTGATTCGCTATATAATTATTTATAATTTTTGGTGCGCGTAACTGCTCTCACTTCTGTTACGTATAGGGATACAATCTGGACCTATTTTACTTAAATGATTATACACCAAGATATCTAATAAGCTCCTCAATATCCTGCCTGCTATATAGTCATGCATATAGTCATGCATAATATACATACTTGATATAAAAACGTAATCTGTGCTTAGACTCGGAGTAATCACGAATGCATTTAGATTTCGCTACGTCAGACTGATTAATGATACGAGAAAAGTATAGTCAGCATTATTCAAGAAAAGATTGTATCAAATACCTATTCTCGATTCTCGATTTTCTTAGATAAGTTAATTTTTACCAGCAACAAAATAAATGGAATAATTACGGAGAAATAATACGTATTTTATAATATTTATTATATTATCTATTATATTATATTATATTATTTAAATGAGAGTTTAAATTAGAATTCGATATTAATCGTGTAATTTTCATCGATTCTTATTGAACCTCGTTCTTGCGTATCAAAATTTCGAATTTACCTCGCGATGTAACTTCGCTTCTTCGACTCGCATTACTGAGTGCAACGTGCGTAACAGCATTCTATGCGTTACGCAAGTTACCTGAGTATACTTTTTTGTATTGGTTTTATATCTTGCGACACGTAAGTAAGCACGTAACTTGCGCTATCTCGAAGCCGAAAAAGCCAGGTGAAGTGAGATGGGATTACATCTCTCAATCGCCGCGCGATTTGAGTTTACGTTAATTACTTTAGCGCTAATTGCCGCGCGTCTCCGTTATTTCGTCATTACTTTGGAGAACGCTTTGGAGATAGTCCAAGCGAGTCCAAGCGTTCGCGTAAAGTGCATCGAAAGAAAGGTTGGCTCAGTTGGGATGAGCGTCCAAATGACCTTTCTTCTCAAATAGAAAGGCGTCCCGCGGTGCACACATAACGTCGCGAATAACAGTGCGTGAGTGTTTCTCTTTCGCGAAGGCAATCGACCACGCGCTTAACCCTTGCAGCTTTGCGCGCATGCACTTGTCTCATTGAGAAAAAAAAAATAAAATTCCATTGAAATACACTAGCCTAATGAAGCTATCATCATTCCTCGAAATATTTTGCAAAACAAGTATTTGCAAAATAATTGTGAACGACATTACATTCGAGTTTGTCGTCGCACGATTTTAAATAACAACGGTTGACTCAAGGTTCAATTTTTTATGGGAAGTTTTTATTCGCAATGATTAAGATCTTTTCTGCGCGTCGAATTTACCGATGTTATCGATTTTTTTCCTTAACCGATTTTTTCATCTCCGTTGTGCTTTGCAATTTTATGATGAAAACGCGTCTATCACAGTCGCGAATACAGACGCTGACCTGTGCGGCATCGCATATAGACGCTCTGGTTTTCTACTAAAATTAGCGACACCCACTGTGCGCCAAACATTCCTTTCGTCTCTCCCCAAATCCCCTTCCATGATTTATTAATGAGGCGAATGCCTCATAAAAATTTCATTCGTTTTTTGAAGCTAATATTGGAAGAAAAATCAAGAAAACTTTTTAAAGAAAATATATCTATTCCGTTCATCATGCGTCATATTTTATAATTCGCAGAATTGTAATTTTAATTTATTTGAAGCAAAGAAAGCAATAAATATAATTAATTTCCTTTCTCGTGTTGCATTGTTTTCCTTGTATCTTAGATATTTAACATTTAATACGTAGCCACGAATTTTATTATGGAATGTAATGCATTTTTGCAATTAAAATCTTTCTATTAGATTTGTAAAGATTTGAAATAGTTGTTTCCTGCAATCACTTTATCAAAATTATTAAAATTTCGAAAAACAAATGTGTCTGTATGTGTGTATCCCAAATTTACATACAAATATACATTCGGTGTTACTTATCTGCGTAACATTTACCGTGAAGATTTTTCACTTCGACAAAGTTTTGCACAATCTCTTTGAAACATCGTCGTCGTCGGGAGTCGATAATACTGGCCTGAGTCCAGTGGACTCGTTATAAATACGGCTCACGACAAATGCAGACGAAGATGGTTGTCGTTCTCAGACTCTCTTTCTGCTTCTCGTCATCCTTCATGTCATATTTTTTGTTCTTACTGCTTGCCTTTAACGACACATTTCTACATCGCGCTCGTTCTTCTTTCCTGCTTCTCTTGTCTGACTCCTAACGATGCGTTTTTACGTCATTACGACGCTTGTTTCCTTTCTTTTTCTTGTTTTCGTTGACGTAATTCTTCTCACAAAATTATTTGTCTATACAAATCTATATAGATCTATTTAATAGATTGACATCTAGCAGATTTAGATAAAAAAAACTGTAGAATTATAAGTATAATATTTATTAATATATTTAAAAATTTCTGGAAAGTTTATATAGAGATATAAGATAAATTTATTTTATATTTCCGAATTTAATTAAAATTTACGATAAAATTTGTACTTTGTACTAAATGAAATTTCATTTGTACTTTGTACTAAATGAAATTTAGGTTAACAATTATTATAATTTCGATTTTATTATTTCTACTAAGTAATCAACGTCAAGAGTATTAATTTGCAATTATAACTAAATAACGTCTCTGAAAAATGAATGATAATAAAAAAAAAAACAAATACCAGATTAATTGCTATTTTATTGCTCTAAAGTATCGGAAATCAATATCGAAAATTTCTAATGATTCCAAATACATCAACATGAAATAACTAAAAATAAGAAATTAACAATAGCTTTTGATACGAAGTTTTTTGTGCTTCTTGTATTAATTGTTTTCGAAGCATGTCGTATCTTACGCAGATGAGTCAGCACTTTTAACGTTATTATGAATTTTCTAAATAAAAAGGAACAATAAATTCAGGAGAAGTGAATTATGTGATTATATAATTAGCATTTAATAATTATATCAGCGCTGAATTAGTAGTTATAAAGCCAAAATTGATATTTTTTATTGGTTCTAAGTTAAGGATAGATTCGATGACGGCATTTCCTTCTTACATCACGTACCGTACAATTCACGTGCAATATACGTGGCTATGGAAATATTGCGCGGGCGTAAAACACGATGTTCCGAATGACGTTGTACCGTAAGGGTATTAATAACCTCCGATTCTTGCGACTACCAATTTTCAACGCACTATTTTATGCCGGTTTTTCGCCTATTTTCTGTTGAACAAGCAAAGCTTGATTTATTCCAAGAGAAATAACTCGATGCATTCCTCGCATTTTTTTTTTTCATTTATCCATATCTTTATTAAAAGCAAAATTTTTCAAACTGAAATCAAGTGAACCAAATGAAAGTTTTCAACGACTATTTTTGATATCACTTTCCGAAATTCTGTGAGATTTATTGGAATTTGTTACATTTTTCTCTGCTTACGGTTAACCACATCTGTATAACAAGATAAGGAAAGATTATTTACAAAGCAGCACGAATCTGTTTGAGCTTCGAAAAAACTCGTAAGGCAACCCTGACGCGTCGGTGTTGAGCAAAGATCTGTTACAGCCACCTGTGGAACAGGATTCTTCGGTACCGGTTCAATATTCTGGCCTCCAAATCTTTCCTCGCGGCGTTACGATGGTCCATTTGTATCAACGATCGTTGAAATCCTCCAGAAACGATTGAAATCCTTGAAACGAGGTTTAAGCCGTTGAGGAATTTTGGTGCGCAAGGTTAAGGTCGTTAATTGGAATTAGTATACCTTATTTTCTCCGAAGATTGCACGTATATTTTTTTATTGTCTTCTGAAATGCCGCAGTGATGAGATATGTCGGGTGATAGAAGTAGCACGAAGTAGCATGACGCTATTGTTGTGTGATATTTAAACGGCTAACATTTGTCAGATTTGATTCTGTCGATATACAAAATAAATCGATATACAAAAATAAAAATAAACAGTAATGACATTATACGATGGTAACGTCAAAGTTCACAGTAGAACGTCAATTCTGACTAGTATCGAGTATCGAGAGGACAAAGGATACACCATTTATAATAAATTAGCAATCAACAGGAAATTTTTCGTGAATAGCGAATTTGTATTTCTTTTTGCAAATGCAGTAGAACAAGGTAATAAAATCTTATTTTTCTTTGCGTGCTTTTTTAAATTTAAGTGCCACACCTAAATTAACATTAACAAGATCTTGTATACAACATAATTTGTATTATTTAAAGTATGAATTTTTCTGAATAAGTATAAAATAAGTTTCGATATAGATATTTATTTGTCAATAATGGAAAAACTAAATTTTTTTATACAATCTTTCCATGTTGTTATGATAATATTAAATATAAGGCATGTAAGGCATAATTTAAAAAAATTAAATAATAAATAAAATAAACTTAGATTAGCACTGAAAAAATTATTTTTTTAATTATTTTATTAAATTTTTCTATATTAAAACATAAATATTAGGAGCTTTATATTATTTTGTCTATTTTCAAATGATCGATGATTTCAAAGTCCTCGTAAAAGACGTAAGAGAAAGAAAAATCGTTTAAGAGGAGAAAGAATAGGAACAAAGATAATGTTATATAAACAGATTTCTACGAACTTCCATGATATCATTTGATATCACGGCATAAGATCAGAATAAGATAAAAATTTCACAATCGTACTATGTTGAATCAATATAATCTTAATTTTAGCGTTTATGAATTGTATACAAAAAATACAATTATTATTTATTAAATTATAATGTCGAAAATAATAATTGCGAGAATAATATCAGAGTGAAACAGTATACGCTATTTATATAAAATTATCGTTCCTGCTGATTCACGAATTCTTACGCAAGACTTCCGGTATTTGAGCGCTGATAAGGCTGGAAAATGCCGTTACATATCCCGATGACACGAAAACTCGCGAATATTTGAGCATCAGTTATCAGCATGCGAAATGGATCCGATCAAGAAACGGGATCTGATCTCCGAATATCTCAATATCTTCGCGTACGCTGATGTGAAAGTCTTCCTGAGTCACGCGAGAACTCTCGTCGTTGCAACTGTCGTTTTCGTGGCCGACACACGTCAAATGCATACGAATTGCAGGCATGTGACAGGAAGTGACAAAGGTGCGATCGCGTCGGGAGGGAGAGATCGCGATTCATTTCGTCTGCAGTTCCAAAGCGGATATGAAACAAAATCGTCCGTCGCTCGTTCCAACCAGCTGGATTGCGAATCTAGGTCGCGATCACCTGCTACGCGCTAGCAGCAGCACGGCGGATCTAGATCTATGTGGATTTGATCCATGCGACTCGACGTGATGCGGATTCACGGCGCCGCCGTGAGAAAATAGATCGCGATCGCGCGCGATTTTGCTTAAACTCTTTGACGCGGGCTGGTGTAGAAAAACACGCCACGTCTTCGAGAATTTGTTTCTTCTGCTCGACTATTTGTTTAGACAGTTAGTGCGGCAGTAACCTTATTTATTTTTATACCACTTTATATAAAAAAACGAATTAACTAAAAAAAAAAAAAATGAAAGGAACTCTTTAAATCTTCTTTTTCATATTTCTTTATAGCAAGATAACTTATAAGTAGATAGATATATATTTATTTCGTGCCTTTCGGCTTTGAAAGGGAAATATAATAAGGGAAATAACTTATAAGTAATGTAATTATAATGATAATGATAATTAAAAAAAATATATATATATAAAATCTCACATTTTGAGGAATTGGAGTTTACCCTCGTTTACAATCATTTCTTTCTCTCTTCATAGAATTACTTTAAATTGCTTGAAATATATTTTTATGAAATATATTTTTTCCATTAAGGAGAATAATGATAATAGTCTTGGATGGTTTTTCCAATCCTTCTCTCGATTCTCTCGATCCTTCCATCGAGCTTTCGACGCCTGGATGCGTCATGCATGCGAGTTTTCTCGATTTGCATACTTGATTCGCACTTGAATTATCCAGACTGATCCCCATGGCGGTCACTGCAACGCGTTCGCCATCAAGCCGTCGATTTGGTCGCGAAACGAGCTCGTGAAATTCAGAGCGAGCGTATGAAACTCGGCTTGTGGTAGGACAACATAAGTCCTGATTACACCGCGTTTTACGGTTTATGACGTAATCCCGCGGGCAGAGCTAGTTAACCGGATATTAGACGTGTCTACCGGATAGATGCAGAAAATCAAACGTTGATTTGAACTGCATCTATCAACCATGTTAGTCGCTTGAGTGCACGCTCCCATCGTGTAAACTGTTTCATCTGATCGACGGAGGGAAAAGATCGGCAAGTATCCTCGAGTGACGTTGTCTTCTGTATACACTGTAATGTATTATAGAAAGTGCAGAACGATAGGAATACATACGATAGTTAATATTAAAATTTCTGTCTTCGGGAATATCTTGTCGCTATTATCTAGTTTTCGGAAGTACCTTGCGTAATTCCATTAATCTTCAACGGGACTCTATCCTGCCGTGGCTAAAACGCAAAATTTCCTAATAGCACGCTTCGTGCGCATGCAGGTTACGCCCATTTGCACCGTAAGTGGATACATTACTAAAGACAAATAAATCGTTAACGGTGACAGTCCCCCAGGAAAAGCAAACGAAATTATGGAGGAAGGGAAGTTAATGGCCGAGCACAAGACAAATGACAGGCATTCGTAGGATAATGGTGGTTTTTAGCGACGGAGAGTTCCCAGTTCCCAGTATTTGCATTCTATATCCAATAGTTAACAATCAAATTTGATTTTTAATTGTTTAAAAGTTCCATATATCTTGCCTCCAATGTGACAATTACCAAGCGAGTAAACTTAATTTGTCTAATGGAAATTCTCAATAATAATCATACATTATATATTATCAATGTTTTTGTGCACGATAGTGGGTTATGGCCTAGTTCTAATATTAGAGAACACGCCAGACGCATTGTCAGCCGCCAAAAAAGTAAAGACGACAGACAAATACCCGAATATACTTTCAATGAGAACGTTTAGCGTGAATTTGTCTGAAAGTATCAAATATCGAGTCTTCGTTTTACGTAACACACATTTGTCTCTGCGCGGGAGCGATCTTGTTAAAATTCACGTCACGTTTCTTTGAATTCAAAATAAATTTGAAACTTTTTGAGAATTTAAATTCGAGAAGTCGTGATTTGCGATAGAGGGACAAAAATAAAATAATTTTAAAAAGTAGGTGTATTTTTATATTCAAGGTAAACGTGAACTATACTTTCGTTTTTATCTATTTCGGTTTTCTCCCATAGACGCATCTGTGCACTAAATTGCTTGTAAGTGGCTGAGTCTGGATTTAGACAGGTACTTTTCCTGTCTCAAACTTCTACTGGTCTCCTCGAAAGCTGATGTGTGAACTGACATGTAATCTTGATGTGGTGTTTAACCCAGTGGCGAAGTGGCGTTTATAGTCCAAATACTCAGTCAGTTCTGGCTAATCCTAGATTTAACTCGTAATAATTTCAGCGTCTACGATTTATATAATAATTTTAAATAAGTTTTAATTTAATTTTTAATACATTTAATTAAAACATTTAAGTCATATAATAAAAATCTAATTTTAAAAGTACTATAAGCCGAAGTGACTTTAGTCTACTAAAATGATTAACTCATTTGAAGAAAAAAAATATATTTATGTAAGAAATATATCTTTTTTTTTCATCTGTTTATCTTTGAATTAAAGTCTCTCATCTCAGTTTACGGCACTTTCTAAAATTTGTCTAAAAAATATGTAAATTAAATGTATGTATATTAAAGAAACCACATAGCACTTTTGCCCTCACTTTGTATAACAAATGTAACAAACAATACACATATTCTGTCTCATTCAATTTGTTGAATGCGAATTATAATAAATCGAATTATAAAAATTTTAATATCTCTCTTGCGTGTCTATCATGTTTAATTCGATTGTCTCAAAGTGGCTAGGCTTAATAGACATCTTCTTGCAGCGCTGAGAGTACTTTTTACCGCGTGAGAGGGAACGAAATTTCAATTGTATCGTTTTGTGAGGGTGATGACTCGATGAATATAGCCGACCGGCGCGGCGTAGCCGACAAATTTGATTGCGTTCAATTAGGAGAATCGAGTGTGGCGATTGTGTGCGTTACCCTCGAATCCGCAGCTACATACACTTGGGCATAGTCCGTGAATTCGCGGAATCAGGAAGCACTGTAATAATACCGGTTGGATTATGGCAATCAGAAAGGGTTTATGATAAACGTGAAATCGTAGATTACTGCCCGAGGCAGTTGCGTATATTACATTTGGAATTTAATTAATAT